TCTCTCCTCTTGTCCCTGTTGGATACGTCATGCCCGTTCGCCAAACTGATTACTTCAACAGGCAGAATAGAGGTCATGGATGCTCTCTGTACTTGGTTCTTTTCTTTCAGACATTTCACTAGCAAACTAGATAACATTATTAGTGCACTTCATTAGCTAGCAAACAGGAGGAAGAGAAGGAGGCCTAAAACCACTGGGGGAAAAGTATTTTAAAAGATTTTTTCCCCCAAGAGGACAGGAAGGAAAACAGGAATAATTTCCCTTGATCGCTGAACATTGAATTTCCCCAATTAGGCTTTAATTGTCTGATGTCAAGCCAAATAGATGGCTTTGCCTTTGTGGGTTCTTTGAGATGATCTAGAGAAGAGGTGCAAAACTAGTATTTACACTACATTTAGTCCAAGATTGCATTAACAGAACAATTTTCCAATTGGATCTAAAAGCAAATTGCAAGTCCTTTTACTTCCTAGAAAACTAGGGAGAGTGCCTTCTGAAATGCTTGCCATAGCTCTTTTCGATCTATGGGCTAAGATACCTTTTCTTTTTTTCCAAAATTTTATTTATAATACAATTTAAAAAAAAAACATTGGATATAACATGACATTCCAGTATATACATTCTTATCAAATTATTCCACATTTTACAGTCGGTTCTTCATCTCTGAATATACATCTAAGTTTTATATACAGCACTTATTCTAAAATAACATATATTTCTATCTTAACACTAGTCTTTAATCCCAACCGTCCTCCTTGAAACTCTCCAGCGGTAAAATTTATCCCAGGTTTCGAAGTAAACTGATCCACATTTGTCTTTCAAAACCATTGTAAGCCTGTCCATTTCCGCACATGCTAATATTTTATATAGTGACTCTTCCTCTGTGGGGATTTCTTTGCTCTTCCATTTTTGCGCAAATGCAAGCCTCGCTGCAGTCAAGATGTGTAACAGCAAATAAATTGTTCCCTTATTGTATTTCTCTGTAGTTATTCCCAGCAAGAAGAGTTCCGGTTTTAACTCTTAAGTCCAATATTTTAACTCTTAAGTCCAATACCTTTTTCATGAGAGTTGTCTACAGCTCTTTCTGCAATGATACCACAATGATAGTAATCCTTCCTAAAATCCATTACAGAAGTCTCAGATGGTACGTATTTGTCCTAGGCAAAACAATGAAGGTTATGTTTGACCAGACGATGTACACGGAAGACAGTTTTAGCACAAAAACACCCTTAATAAAAGATAACGAACTACCCCCAGAGATCCGGGTGATCCCGGATCTCCCTTCCTTCCGCCGCACCCTTAAGACATGGCTATTCCAACTAGCAGGACTGGCCTAAGGGGTAATTTTTAGCGGGGTTTTAAAAATAATTTTAAAATAACAAAGGCCAATTTAAATATTTCATTTTAATTATGTTTTTAACGATGGTATTTTGATATTTTTGTATTTGTTTTTATCAGGCTGTTAGCCGCCCTGAGTCCGCAAGGAGAAGGGCGGGGTAAAAATTCAATAAATAATAATAATAATAATAATAATAATAATAAATAGACTGCTCTTTTGGCTAAATGGATCCCGATACTGAAGATGTAATAATGTTTGAATAGTAGTTCAGCCTATTGTTAAGAGTACAATGGTTGCATAAACCAAGGAAATGCTCACTGAAGACTGAATAACACATATTTGTGATAATGGTGGGATAATATGATCCAAGGAGACATTTAATGGTGGAAGCTGCTTAGCCTGCAGGTGTTATAAATCCGTACCACTAAAGATTTTGTTGTCTGGCAATTAAACTGGGAGGCACATTGCTCAATTTCTATTATAGTAACAGGAAAAACAGGATTTTTGGCATCTTCTGAAGTATTCATGCATGCACGCTGAGTGTATGAAACATACTATTAGTTTGCTACCACATCTGAATAAATGGATATGAATTTCTCAGGGCAGAGTTACACATAAATGAACAATATATCTTGTACAGATGTTTATTTGCAGCAACCAAATCTAAGCCATCTTATTCCACACTTTCTTTCTCTCTGGCATCATTTTTCAGTGTGCTTCTTTTGTGGTTATTTATAGGCCAGATTTAATGGCAGCTGCTTTTATTTTTCTCCTTAACACACAAAAGGATTAATGAGAAACAAAAGGACAAACAGCAGAACCGGAGGTTGATAATAGTCTGTTTCCCCTAGAGAAACTTTACTAGGTGGAAAAATAAATCTCAGAGGTCCACAATCAAAGAAGAAAAGGGGGCGAAATAAAGAAGGGGAAAAAATGGCAAGCCAACTGAAAGATTCATCTCTTAAATATACCAGATTATTTAGAACTAGCCACTTTAGCAGTTTGGGTAACGCCGGGAAAATTTGATGAACTAAAACAATGCAAAGCTTTTAAACTCTCACTGGTGTGTAAGAAAGTGTCATGGAACACACGAATCTACAAGGCTTCCCTGGATCTTAAACTCAGCACATTAATGCACATTTAGTGACGTGTGCTTAGTTCCACATTTTGTGGCTGCACAGATTGCGTTAAAGCTTTTTCCTGGTGGCATAGGAAGAGGATTCACTTCTAATTCAACCTTTTTGCATGCATACATCAAGTTTATCGGAAGATGTCTTATATTGAATCAGGTGTCTCCTAGCTCTGATTGGCAGAGTTCTCAAGAGATTCTGATGGAGATGTCAGGAGCTAATCCTGCAACCTTTCGCATTCAGCTCCACTACTCAACCTCATCAATGTACAGACAATATTCTGTACAGTCCGTTCCATTGGCTGTAGATGATTAACTAGTTATTCTTCATGCCTGGTTTACTGTTTCCCTACTTTGGCAACTTCTAGATGAGGGGTCCTTGCTGCCCTCTGAGCTCGGTGTTTTCTTGAAGATGTTTCATTACCCAAACTAGGTAACATCATCAGTGCTAGTAAGGATTCCTTATTAGCACTGATGATGTTAGCTAGTTTGGGTAATGAAACATCTGCAAGAAGACCACCAACCTCAGAGAGCACCAAGGACCCCCTCATTTCAGCCCTGAGCTACAAATATTCTCCTTGATTGGTAGTTCTAGATGAGTTGAGATCAACTCCAACAGCTCTTAGCTCTTCTTACCTTGGTCACTGTTGAGAATTCTGGGAGTTGAACTCAAGATATCTGGAAGTCACACAGCTTGTGAAATAGTGGGCTGGATTCAGTAGGACAGCATTCTTCTCTTCCTAAATCAGCGGTTCTCAACCTATGGGTCGCGACCCCATTTGGGGTCGATCGACCATTTCACGGGGGTCGCCAAGCAAGGCTGTCCGCCATTTTTTCCCCTTTTCCGGCGGGTGCCTTACCTCCCTTGGGCTGGGCCAGCTGGTGGTCGGCCTGCTCCGTCTCTGCCGCTTGCCAGCTACGCCTCGGCCGGCGCAGGGGGCGGA